CACACCAGAGATATGGTATAATCCATTTAGTGTGTTGATAGAACATGATATAATATTCATATTACTCTCTGACAGAAATAAAGGAGGCAAAACAAAATCAACTTGAATTTAAGACAGTTATTTGAAATCTTAGTGAAAGACTAGATTTGTTATCTCATGCTTGCTTTTCATGAAAAGATACCAATTGAAGTGGAGGATTTCTTCAAACAACAAGGAGCTGGGTACTCAATCAAATGATATTGAGCGTGTTTCCCATCCCTTCTCGAGAAGGAAGTGGACTATTTCTTTGCAAAATTGTGCTCAATTTCATTAGAGCCATTTTTCATAAAATATATTTAGGTAAAACAAGTATTATCACCAATAAATAACATAAAATACTCAGAACTCCCATGGTGGATGTAAGATATATACCTCAAACGTCAGAATGCACAAAATCAAAAAGAGTAACAAAAAGAAAATGATTGCTTGAAAATGATCAAAAGTCATATAATGATTGAAGATTATAACTAAGTTTTGAAACTAATAAAACATTTGGTAAAGTCAATGACTTTTTAAAAATATTGTCACTATATGACTAACTTTCATAACGGTCTCATTATTCTAACAACTAATAGTGTAGTTGGCGATGTGTTTATTAGCCTATGTCGAACCTCGTGACCATCCATCTACTAGGATTTTAGCCTTTTTCCCATTTGTCCACGTAGTACATCTGATGTATATATGACTACCTAACATGTTAGGATTGATATTTTATTTATACTTAAAAGAATAATATAGGCAATGAAAGAAACAGCGCCATGTGCTCTTGAGGGATTCGATCCGTTGGTACATCTGGATAGGTTACAGTCAAAAACCCCACTAAAACAGTGGGTTGAAATGACCATTTGCCAGAAAAATAAGAGTAAAGTCAAATTAATATGAGAAACAAAGTTATCTGAAGATAATGTTTTAACCTGTTATGCAGATAAAGTGAAGGATTTAAGCTTCCAAACCAAGCAAATTAAGACTGTACGTACATAGGCACGTGAATTGAATTGCCGAATATCAAAGATCATTTCCCCTTAACGATTCTATGTGTCTCTGTGATCATTGAATTTCCTTTTAACTTTTCTGCTTTTTGACTTTTCTTTTTAATGGTAGGCAGTTATTTTTTTTATTTTTTAAGTTAGAATTAAGATGATGTTTATATAATTATTAAAAAATATTATAATTATAATATTATATAGTATTATAAACTTATAATATAATAAAAAACAAAAAAAATATATAAAAAAGTTAAAAGTTTAAAATTAAGTAAAATTATAACGTTAAGAAATTAAAATTAGTATTTAACTTTATTATTATGTGTAGCAATTAAAAAAAATTATTATTGTTGATTAATCAATATTTTTATTACTTTAACCATTAATTACTAAAAGAAGTAAAAAGGGTAGTTACTAATTATATATCCATTGATGTTAAGGATGGTTACTAAATCTAAAATTGACTAAAAACTTTACTTTCATCATTGTAAAATCACTTTGTGAAAGCTTGTTTCATGCTGAATTTAGTTGAAAACAAATTTAAGTAATTCGTAAGCATTTCAACTCATCTTTTAATTTTGTGACAATATTATACTTTTCATTGGCCTTGAATATTTTCAACAACAATTAAGGGCCCTTTTAGTAATGTTTTTTATATATACATTGTCAAATTTTGAATAATAAGCATTGAGGTGTTAAGGTTAAATTAAATTTAAAATTAAATCTAACTTGTGCATATAGGTTAAGTTTTATTAATTATTAAATATATAGTTAATTTTGCACAAATTTTTATATCAGATTTATATTTTTTTATAAATTTTAAGTATAAATATTATATTTTACTTCA